AACACACTATTAACTTCTTGTTTATTGAACTGTTGTATAAAATTTTATTAAAATGTATTGGGAAAAACAGCACTTACTTGTTTGAGATTGCTAAACTATATCAATATTATATAAATATAAGATAAAAACCCATACAGCGTCTTTTTTTTTTTTGCCTCATTTCTTGAATTATTGGTGCATATAACTGCATTCTAATAGACTGCATCACACAGTGAGTCATCCTGCATCGTGTTCATCAGCCACTCCGTGCATTTTAAGATTAACCTAATACCTAATACTATTAATGCATTTATTTTATGTTTATGGCACGCAACATGTCTATCAATTATTCATCAGTTACAGTCTGGTCAGTTACCATCAGAATATAAACAGGCTCTGCTTTGTTTTTGTGCACGAATGTGGACGGCGTTGACAGCTCTGATATAATTTAACATTTAGTGGTCCACTGCTTAATATTTCATGATCTTTGTTCCTCTCAGAAAGCATGAAGATCAGCAGAATAAAACCAGCCCAGCCTTGATCTCTCTCGTTCACTCGTATGACAGTCATACTCATGTGTTTGAAGTGCGGCTCTGATTAACGAAAAATAATATACAGCACTGTCAATCTGTCATCATCTGACAATGAAAAAGCCAGAAACGCCTGTCCTCTTCTGTTAGCTTTGTAAAAGTGTCCCGGAATTTTTGATTTCAAAAATATGAGACTAAAACATGAGTTAACATGAAACTAGTGTGAAACAATCACTTAATACACATTTTGTACACACCTAGTATAAAATTATAAAATTAGATATATATTTTATATTTACTTATATTTTATATTTACCCATATATACATCTAATTAAGTAATGATTATGTATTATTATTATGTAATTATTATTAATACTAATAGTACATAATCTGTGCGTTTTTTATTTCTTATGTATTTCACATGAGTAGGGACCCAACAGAGTTCCAAAGTTGCAAACTACTTTCCTTAAATGTATTCATATAATCATGATCCGGCACCCTACAGATCCGTCTTAGTGCTGTAAACAAACCCTGCTGTCTGTCTGACTGCTGTCACCTGAAACTCATCCTGATTATGCAGAGGAAACATTTCACTTGCCTTTTCTCCCAAATATCTGTCAGCAGTTAAAGTAACCGTAGAGACACCCAGCAGAAGTGTGTGATGATTTGGCTGTCCGCGTGTCAGAGTGAATTAAAGCAGGTCTAAACATGGCCCACGCCACAGTTGATCTCACAGATCTGGAGCTAGTTTAAGCAGGTGATAAGTAAGTCTGTGAGGCTGTGAAAAGTGTTGCCATTTTACACCAAACAGTCGTCGCACGTTCTGAGAGTTTAGCAGATCGTCTCGTTGATGTTCATTGAACTCAGGTTTGTTGCAGCAGTGTTGTGTTTGATATTCATTTATGACAATCAGTATGATGTGTTATTTGAATATTACTTAAATTATATTGTAGTATTTATTCATATTTTGAATTAGCTTTATTTTTATATTTAAATTTTAGTTTAAGTTTTAGTAATTGTGCTTTTTAATTTTGTCATTTGTATTATTTATTTAATTATTTATATTATTTTGTAAATTCCTGTTTAGTTTAATTTTTTTTTTTTTTTTTTTTAATTTTAGTACTTAAACTTAGGGGTTTTTTTCTTTTTAGTTTTGTTATTCAATAATTTATTTTAATTATTAAATAAATGTATATTTATTTAATGTATTTATTTTTTTTATTTATATTGTATAATATATATACATATTAGATCTGAAGTTGAAGTACTGAAATGTCTAACTCTTGTTTTAAATTTTTGTTATTATACATTTTATTTTATTTCAGTTGCCAATGCCACATTTATTTTTGATTTCATTTATTTATTTATTTTTAATATTTCATTTCAGTTCAAGTAATTTACAATAATAACATTAACATTAACACAAAGAATCACAATTTGCAAGAGATGCATTTCATCTTTTGATTACAGTCTCTAGTCTGTTTCTTAAATTATACATTGTTTTATGGAAAAGTGTGTAATTATTTGCTTGTTTATTATTAGTAGCCAGAGAAAACATCTCATGTTTATCTCTCTTTGTCTCTCTATTAAATTGGCTGTGTTCGTAAATGAATACTTACATGCTGCTTACTGCACACTGGACAGTATATGCTATATAACCTATGTTTATGTGAAATTATGTGCAGTAAATGTTTCAAACAGCTACATTGTTATTTCATGACCTGCATGTTAACATCTAAGAAATACAGCTGGTGATTGCATATTTTCTAATGTCAGTTTCTGTCGAAATACATTTAAAGTAACCAAACTTTTGTAGCTTTATCAAGCCGTCCTATCCAGCATTTGATCTGTGTTTCAGGGGGTCCGTCGGCTGATTTGCACCCTCTGGTGTCTCTGGGCAGTTTGCTGGACGATCAGCACTGGCATCACGTCAGCGTGGAGCGGGTTCGAGGACTGGTGAACTTCACCGTGGACAAAAACACCCAGCAGTTCCAGCTGCCCGAGTCCTGGAGTCACTCTGAGATTAACGAGGTGAGCTGCTAACCACCTCCAGCTCAATTAGTCCAGTAAAGCATTTCAAACCACTCACAAAAAACACCTGAATTATACAAACAACATCAATCAACTGGAATGAAAATGTCTTTGTGGAATTAGATCTCACTATATTTCTGAGCATTTCACTTTGTTTTGACACACTGTTCATTTATTGATATCAACACTTACATCTTATATTACAGTAAACTAGCAAAGTCTCACAATACAAGGCCAGTTTCTTTATATAGCACATTTCATGCATAATAGTAATTCATAGTGCTTTACATAAAAATGATTGCAAAAATAATAGTCATAAATAAAATAAATAATAATTAATAAAAAGTAATAAATTATATTCATGAACTGTATATGTGTGGAAACAGTTACAGTAAATAGTAGTCATAAAAGGTATATAAAAGGTAAAAATAGCATTAATAGTAAATATAAATTATTAAATAATTTATTCATAGAATTATTCATTAATGGTAATAGTTATTTATAATAGAGCAGCAGGTCTCCATCAGAGTAAGTGTGTGAACACAGTCACGTCTGCAGCTGCTTTATTTGGCCTGCTAGCGATTGTCAGATGTTGGCTGCTTCATTTTTCCATAATGAGAGCTTTGTGTTTCCGTGACCCTTACCATGTTCTCCTCCATTATACAGGGTTTTTTCTTTTTTTACAACCATTGTCTTGGGAATTTGGGGGTTAAACCAATTACCAGCCCTTTAATTCATTGTCGTAATGGCCGTGACATTGGTTTCAAGATAATAGCCAGGAAGGCAAATGCATAATTTATGAAGCAGACATCATGACTGTGGTGCTTCACTATTGCAAATGAGAAATGCTCTTGGTTTTACTCAGTATTTTTTGTCTCTCGTAGGGTAACGTCAGCTTTACATGCACCGAATCCATAGACGTGCCGGTGACCTTCGCCAGTCCTGGAAGTTTCCTCGCTTTGCCGTGGGTCTCCGGTGGAGAAAGCGCCTCGGTCGCTCTGCAGTTCAGGACCTGGAACAGAGCGGGCCTGCTGATGACCTTTGACCTGCAGCATAACGCGGGAACGCTGTGGCTCTATCTGAGCGAGGCCAGAGCGCGACTGCAGATCCATAAGACCGGCCGGATTATGACAGACATCACCGCAGGTTCGGCTCATGCATTTTGGGATATAATATGTTGATATATGAAATAATAGCACGTATATACCATAGTTTCAGTTTATTTGACAGTAAAAGCAAAGTCCATCTCTCTTGTGTGTCAAGAGTAAAGCAAAGTCGACATCAATGGCACCTGCTGCTTTGAGAAATGCAATATGTATGAAAATCTCTTTGTATGAACATTTACATCACAAAGGAACTTTCTGGCTAAAACTAGTTTTAAACCAAATGAATGCAGAATAATGAATTACTTGAACTAAATTTTAGGTACCATGCTTAATATGAAGTATTATGTGAAACAGTATGCGGTATGCAAACATAAACATTGCAGTATCTTGATATATTGTTCAGAATTATATTCATCTTAGAAATAAATGCTTATTTTGCATTTTTAATATATATATATATTTTTTTAAATGTACATATATAATCTATATTATAATTTAAAAATGTGTCCAAAACGTTATAGTTTATATATTTATATGTAGTCTAGTTTTTAGTTTTAATTTATGTAGTTGTAGTTATTTTAATACTTCAACGTCAACAAAATGAAAATGAGAAATTTTGCCTTGGCAGCTAGCTGAAATAAAATGTGTTTTATTTTATTTTAGTTAATATTTATTTTAATATTTATCATTTTTCAGTTAGTGTTATTATCATTAATTGAAGTAAAAAAAAAAAGTTTCTTAAAATCAAATAAATGTTAACTGAAATTAGCTATAATTATTATTATTTTTAATCTGTTCCGCTAGTTGCAATGGAAACATTTCTAATTTTCATTTAGTTTAACTTGAAATATTTAAATAACTTTAACTCAACTAAAAAAAACGTGTAGAATAAATGTTAACTAAAATAAACAATAAAAAAAACTTTAAACTGAAGTATTTAACTAAAATTAAAACTGTATATTTTAGTATTGATAAACTGTTATAGTTGTTTATATTTTGAATAAAATGTATTTTTATATTTTCTTTTTTCATGTTAATTTTAGTTAAAGTTTTTGTCATTTTTATTTTCATTTTGTGATTAAATATGTAGTTTATATAGTTATATATAGTATATATAGTTTTTTATTAACTTTTTAGTTGTAGTTTATTTAGTTTTAGATTTTTATAAAATCAATATTAACTAAAACACAGCATATATATATATATGCTGTGTTTTAGTTAATATTGATTTTATTTTAAGTAATTAAATGTTTTTATGATGTTAGTTTTAGCTTTATACATTTCATTGTGAAATGCATTAAACTCTGGTTGTATATATAACGCACCTTTGATAAATATAGTTAGATGACTATATTTTGTGCATACTGCAAAATTAGCGTCACTAGTATGCTAGTGTGTTAAAAATGCATATTTAAACCAATTTTGTGTGAAAATGCCTGAACTTTTGGCAATCCAATCCAATATTGCATCAAGACAGAGTTGCTGTCAGATTCATTTGACACAATGCAAATAAAGTAAAGATCAAGCGCATTGCATTGTTGGATACAGTATTTAATAAAGTGTGCTGTAGTTGTGTACTGCACATTTTGGCAGATATCATCTGTTTATTTCATGCATACAGAAAATATACACACAGCATTACTGAACTAACATGAGTAGTTTGCTAGTATATCATTACATATATACTCTAAGTTTAAGGCAGAAATCTGTTCTTGCGCTTTATGTAAAAATGATCTCCCTAATGCCTGTTATTTTGCCTGATCCACATGCTGGCTGTTTCTCCACAGGTGCCAGTTTAAATGACGGTCAGTGGCACTCGCTGGAGCTGGCTGTGCGTCGAGGGCGTCTCGCAGTCACCCTGGACAGAACCGACAGCACTACAGCGTCCACTTCCTTCCCTGTCGCACCTGACAGCCAGCTATTCTTAGGCGGTAAGAGTAACCTTTAGCCATCCATCGCCTCCTGCTAACACAAAGCAACACGTTAGCTCAGAGTAATTTCCCTCTACACGAGCCCAATCCTTCACGTTATTCAATCCATCGTTTCACTCAACAAACAGCTTCCGCTGAGAAAAGCACATTGGTTTAGCTTTCCAGCGGTTTGGGGCTGAAACTCTCTAAGGCTTAATTGCCTTCAGCTTAGTAACTGGAGAGAGAGAGAGTTACGCCGTCTATGAATGCACAACTGCAGTGGTTTTGCCTTGAGCCACAGTAAATAATGTATCATATCCTCATGCATGTGATGAGATCTGCCAATATGACAGTCATGTAGGACAGTTTGTGACATGTCATAACAGTATGTGAAACATTTGTAGGTAATTTCCAACGAGCAATTTGTACATTTTTGTTCAACGCAGTCCAGATCATTATTGCAGGTAGTATTATTAGCATTATTGTTATTGTTATTGTTATTATTGTTATTTGGGGGAAAAAAACATTAATATAAACTAAAATATAACTAAATTATATAACTGAAATAAAACAAAATAAAATATAAAAAATAAATAATAATAATAATAATAATAATAATAATGATAAGTATAAGTATAACAAATTAAGCTTATTTTATTTCAGCTAAATAAAATGTAAAAAATTTATAAAAAACTATATTTTTTAGCTATATACATTTTATTTCCACTAGTTGCCATGGAAAATGTATTATTTTTTGTTTAGTTTAACTTGAAAACTAACTAAAACTGTGTAAAGTCAATATTAACTGAAATTAAATAAACTATAAAAATTAAGCTTATTTTGTTAAATAAATGCAAATTGCTAAGAACTATATAGACAAGTATGTATATTAGGGCTGTCATCGTTAACGCGTTAACGCATGCGATTAATTTTACTATCCTTAACGCGTTAAGATGAGAAAAAAAATTGTAGTGCAAAAATAAAACTGCCAATATTACAAAATATAACATTAAAAAGTGTATAAATCATTCGTTTTTCTAAAGAAACACTGTCCAACAGCGACACGCTTGTGTAAAGTACAGACTGAACGGATTGTCAACCAGTGTTGCCAAGTCCGCGGTTTTCCCGAGGAATTGGGCTACTTTAATACTGTTGCCGCGGGATGTTTTTCATGTCCGCGGGTTAAAGCGACCCCAATAACGTGATATTTAGCCCCTGGAATGCAACTTTTACCAGGGGAACCCCATCAAAAAATGTGTATTTTACCCTCCCGAACGCGAGTTTTACCGGGGGATCGCCCTTGAAAAGCAATTGGGCTATTTTTGGGCTAGTTTTGAGTAGCAATTGGGTGTGTTTTGCTGTGAAAACCTGGCAACCCTGTTGTCAACACATCCCACCGCTGTATGGCCAGATGAGACGCAAACTAATGCGATAAATCCCGCCTCTTGTGTTCATGTGTTCTGCGTTTGCGAATCAGTCTGAATGAACAATATAATGGCATTAATGGGAAGACTAATAAAATAAAGTAAGTAAACAACTCACACACTTAGATATAAGACTTAAAATGGTCTGAAAACATGATCTGTGGGATTTTTTAGTGAGTAATCAGCTTGGTAAAATTTAAAGTAAATCTCTGTGTGTTATGGTTATGATCTGTTTTGGTTTGGTTTTCTGTGTTTCCTTTCTCCTGCCTTGTTTGTTTCCATGGTTTTTGATTAATTAGCTCCACACCTGTTTCTGTTTCTCCCTGATTATGTTCCCAGTATTTAAAACCGGTGTTCTCCGTTATTCCTTTGTCTGCTATTGAGTTGATTCCCCTATGTGCTACGTGAGTGTCTGCCTGACCTGTATTTCCCCGAAGCAAGGATTAAAAGACTGTATTTTGAGTTTACGCCTGTCTCTCCTCGTCTCCTCATTCCACCTCCGTAGCCATTACGTAACAGAATAGCAGACCTACAAAGTGAGTAATATTAGCGGCGTTTTTCTTTCTTTTTTGTTTTGTTTCTCCCCTCTTCCGGAATGGCAATCCCAGAAGCTCTTAGCTGTTGCACTGTACACATACTATACAATTCAGATTTTTTTTCTTTCATATGTGCTTATATGGGCTCCTTATATCATTTGGTTCTTTGGTGTCCTTTTGGAGTTTCTAAG